TGCTCAGCAGCTTCTCTCCTCTGCTTCTTCTTCATCCCTTGCAGCTCCCGCCCCATGGAAAGTAGGGCAGGGTGAGGTCTCACCGTAATCTGAGTGGCAGAATAAAAAAAATATTATATGAACATAAAATAGTATAAAATATATTGACGTAAAGAGCAGGTGTCCTACAGACAAGCACCCTGTGAACAGGTGAGGTGATGAGGGGAGAGGTGAACACAAAGGGGACCTCGTGCAGCAGCGTAACACACTAGAAGGGGGGTCCTGCATGGAAAAGAAGGGTACAAGCCAAATCAGTGATAGAATGAGAGAGTTATTAATTCCTGGGCTCTTCAAGGAAGGTGACCTTCCTGCCAGGAGGAAACGCCAGGGATCTCTTTCCAGTGCTAGAACCAGTCCCCTGTACAGGGGGAACCAGTCCCCTGAAACCCCCCTGGGTTTAATCTTAGTTTATGGACTTGAAGCAAGGCTATGCCCCAGGATTGCCTGGGAACACAACCTTTCCCAGACAACCACCAGAGTCTTGTTTAAGTGGTGCTGAGGCCTCACAGACCCCCTTGGGCAGAGGGCTCAGAGGTTTTATGGAGGTATCAATACACAGTAGAACAGAGGCTGAGCCTTGAGACACATCCTTTTGTTATATTTTTTAAGAGATTTCTGGGACCTAATTTTGGCCAGGTTTGTCAGGTTTTTAGGGGTTTAGAGAAGCAGTGACTCCAGCTGGTGTGGGTGAGCACCGCAGCTCCCAAGACAGCAATAGCCTTGAGTCAGACACTCGGATACTGATACACAGAGAGGTATTAGAGAATACATCAGAAATGGTAGATTTTAGCCTCTTATACTCTTGCTCAGCACAAGTCAGTAGCAGATATGGAAGTCTCCACTGTCAGATTTGAGTTTTAATCCTTTTTAATGTATTTTTGTATCCCCTTTCCAAAGTCTGAACCTTCCTGAGTTAGGCTGGGTACCTCTGTGAAAGCAGGGAAAATGATTTCCAGAGTCACTCAGAACATCAACAGTAAAGAGATGGACTGGTCACCAAGCTCCTGGGGTCACTAGTGAGTAAGATTACCACCTGCTGACCTTGCTGGTTTCTAAACCTGAAACTTTTTGCCCTTTTCCATGCTAATCAGTATAAAGGAAGCTTCTCCCACAGAAATCACCTGCTGTTGGGAGCTTTCCTCCTTCACGGAGCTCTGCCAACATTTCAGTCCTCACCTAAGGGACACAGCTCTTATTTTGTCCCCAAGCATCCTCCAAAATGCCACCAACTGTGCTCATTGTCTTGTGGCTTGTGAATATGAGAAAACAGTTAATGAAATGCAAACCAACATTACCAAGAGCATTTTGGATCCGATCTCAGTCAGGTCTCCAAATGCAGCATTTGTTGCAGTGGGACTGTTACTTCTCCAAAACCTAAGAATATAAAACATGGCATGATTTATGGGTACCACAATACTACAGACCCAAATTTGTTGTGTCAATGCAAAATCATGCCTCACACATGCCCACATAACCACAGGCTGCAGCCCACTTACCACTAAAAAGGGGAGGGACAGATCCACGACAGGCTCAGGAAACACTCCAGTGACTCAGACAACTGACATGACACCATTTGTTTGTCTGCTGTAGAGGTATAAATACCATCCACTCCTGAAATATTTAAGAAAAGTCTGCAAGTTCACACTGGACATTTCCCTGGGTGCTCACCCTGCTCCCTGCAGATGTGGGGGAACATCATTCTCTCCCTGTGCCAACACCCAAGTGCCACCACAGCAACTCCACATTCATTTTCTTCTCCCTCCTTATCTTCTCCTGGCTTTGGAGTGCATTCTTCCTTATCTTGGAGACAAATGGCCTCCACGGAGAGCTCTAAACAGCAGAGCAATTTATCTGTTTGACATGTGTTTCCCTGTTTGTTTTCTCCAGCCTTGAGCCATCGGCTCAGGCTGTGACAACACTCAGCTGTGGCAGTGGCAGAGGGTTGCCCAGCCCCTTCACTCAGTGCTGTGAATCAATTCCTTTGCCATATTTATCATTTATTGCAGTAAATCAAGTCTAATCGATGCTTTCTTCTTCAGACGTAGAGCAAAGCCTTTACAGGCTTTTCAGAAAATTGTTTGGAATTAAGGAAAGCTGGGGTGGGGGGAGGAGGAATAATTTAATCACAGAGTAGTTAGGGTTGTTAGTCAATGCAGCACTGATTTTTAATTTGGGGAAAGAAGGTGGCAATGTCCTGTGAGTCACACTGTCGCCATCAAGAAAAAGGAGAAAAGAGCAAAACCTGCTTCTGTTTATCTCCTCCTGATTGTTTCCAGTATTTCACTTGTTGCTTTGAACACCTTATTCTTAAAGCTCCGTGTGAACAAGCACCTCCCTCACATGCATCTCCGTCCTTTTCCAGCCAATTCCTGGATGCAAGAGCCTCCCTCCCTCCCCACACACTTAATGTTGCCCCCTCAGTGCAGCCAAAGCCTGAGAGCATCAGATTTGTCTCTGTTTCCATTTGCCAGGGCTCAGGGCAGCCCAGGGCAGCAGGACTGGCACTTGTGCCACCAAGAGCACACACAGTTCCCTCTCCTGCTCTCCTTGGCAGGAGCAGCGCTCCAGGATAGTGGACAGACCCCTGCCAGGGCCTCAGGCAGGAATTCAGGCTGCTGCCAATCATTTCCCAGCTTTCCCTAAGGACAGCTCAGCTCTGTGAGGACGTGGGGTTGGGACTTTGCCTTCGCTTGGCTCTGGATAAGAAGGGAGGTCGGTGCTGTTCCAGAGAGGTCCATGGACAAGTGTCAGGATGTTACCTGGAGCCATCTCCCCACAGACACCTTCACTGGTCCCAGGGGAGCTCTGCCACACACAGAACAGTCTAGCTGCCCTAATCACTGATATAAGCTTCACTGATTAACAACAATAAACAAATTACATTTCCAACCCAACTCTGTTTAATCTCTCCCCCAGAGCACTCCAGACACCTCAGACAAGCTGCTTTCCCCTCCTCCAGCAAAATGCCCCAGCATTCCTCCCTCAGGCTTAGCTCATATTCAAACATATTTCCAGGACAGACACTGCAGTTCTGTTCCTTTTGGGATGATTATGATGATGAGCAACAAATGCCTTAAAACCAAGTACTGGCTGTGCTACCAATCAGCCTGGGTGCACGGGGTGGGGAAGGGCACTAGAGACAGGGAGAATTTTAAAGCCAACAGAACAGACTATACATGTATTGGGTTCCTCAGACAGCAGCTGATTTTCAGCCTGGAAGATTTGCAAAACAATTCCTATGGATTCATCCAAATAGCTCCTCTTCATAAATCTGCCTCCCTACCAGAATTCCCTCGCTTCTTTCAGAACCCACAGGAGCTTATGGGACTGAGGGGTCAGGGGTAGTGGTGGGATTTGGGTTTTTTTTGTTGTTTTCCCAAGTGTTGGTGGTTCACAGATTCAGCAAGCATTAATTCTGGCTAAACAACATTAGAGCTCCACTTCTCTTTTAGAAGTGTCTCTGTGCATTCTTTTTGGAGAAGCAGGGCTTCTTTTTCATACAGGCACTGCTTGTCCCAAGCACTCCAGTTGTGCTGGATAATGCAGCCACATGTGAAAGAACCCAATATGGAAAAATTTCCCACCTCATCACTACAGAGGTCACATAAAATTGCCATCAGTCAACATACAACAATCAAATTCCATTATCATGACCAGAAAACAGTTTTACAAAAAGGCACAGAGTTGCTCCAGCCCCTGTTCAGCTGCAGGAAGTTCCAGAATTCACACCTGTAATTTGGGGAAAGCAGGAGGACCTTTGCTTTTTTTTTTCCTGAAGTGCATTTTTCCCCTCTCAGACAGCGGCAGCTCCAGCACAGATTTTATTGCTGGCATTTAGAAGAGTAAATGCTCCCTGACACACAGGATGGGAAAGGTTTCTCCCCCAGGGAACAGAACACAGAGACTGATTAAGCGACCAGCAGGTATTTAAGAACATAAAAAATAGTGGCAGATCAGGGCTGCAGCTCTCACTGAACAGGAGCCAGCACAGGAACAGAGCTCACCTGCTGATTTCCAGCAGGGAATAGCACTGGTGAAGAGTAAATCCTTAAGCTTGGGATTTTTACACACTTTTTAATAGCAAGAAGGTTGAACAGTAATCACAACTTGCTCCTTCAGAGGTGTGAATCAGGGGGCTCCTCTTGGGTTTGTGCTCCTGCTGAAACCAAACCTGGTGGTCCATGTTCCATTCTCCTTCCTTCCCAAATCCTTCTGGAGAGATTAAATAGCAGCTGATAATTTGCAGTAGCCATCTGATTTCAACAACAGAAACTAGTTAACAAAATATATCAAGTGACTGAATTGTTTTAACATTATAAGGACAAAAAGGAGCAGGTAAGTTGGCCAAAGCTACCTGCCAGACCAGCAAAGTCAGGACCAGAGAGCCCAGGTTTGCTCTCAGTCCTGTGCTCCTAACCCACGTGCCACATTGTTCCTTCATTTTGGTTAACATTACTGGAAGGGTAGTAGGGCCATATGCAGGAATAAGAAATAACTGAGATTTCTGTTCTTTAAAGAGCAACAGAAATGTCCATAGGAGTGCCCAACATTTCAAAAACAACAAAAAAGAATAAATAGATGACAAAATTGCTGAAATAACTTCTGTAAGAACTGCAGAAATATAAGTTTCTATCCCTTGGACACATAAGATGACCATTTTTTCTTGTACTGACGACTAAGACATAGCCTTTATTTTGTACAAAAATTTAGAAAATATATACTTAAAAATAATTTGCAATCAACTATTTAGACTTTTAAACTTGTAACCATTATTTTTAAAGTGGTTAGCTATAAAGCATTTTAAAATTAAGAAACAGTAGTTCAGTGTCAAACAAGTTTATAGAAACATGATATTTTTTCAAGTAAATCCCAACAGCTGAAGATAATTAAAATCATCCTACAACTCATTTCAGTTGTATTTGACTAGGACATCATTCTACCACTGAATAAGTTTAATGACAACTGCTTCTAGAATTTTATTGAAATTATACATTCCCACATCAAATCTCAGACTGTTGAATCAGAGGAGAAAAATAAAAATTAACTATGAGGGTGTCTAACACACGGTCATACAAATTCTTTTCAAAGCAGTCTTGTCCTCCAACAAAAAACAAAACCATCTTTCTGCAGCTCAGGACAGCCTTGGGACATCTCATCACAGTGATGAGCTGTGTGCCCGTCCCGTGTTCCTACATGGTCCTTTAGTCTTCATCTTCATTTGTGCTGCAGAGAAAAAGCAATGGGTTTGGCTTTGAAGACACCTCCAAGAAACTTCCCTTCCCAGCAGCATCTTCTGAAAATCTGTCAGGTTTGGGTACAGGGTTTGCTGCTTGTTCCTGTGAAACGCAGCTCGCAGTAGCCAATCCTTCAGGCTGCTCTGAAAGCCTCATTGCAGAGTGCATTTGCATTTCCAATTCCTCTATCAATTTCCCAGGAAGAGACACAGATTGCAAAGAAGCTTCTGCTGTTCCATCACTAACCCCCAGCGCAGAGGTGTTTGTGCCCTGCCTCAGTCCATTACAGTCAATAAGTGGAGCTGTCCTCTCCTCCTCAAGTGTGCCTTGGAAGGAATTTATTTCCCCATCTTCACCGGTCGAGGACTCTCGCTCATCTGAATCAGAGCCTTCTGTCTCAGATGATGAAGTGCTGCTTGATTCTTCAGAGTCACTCGTCTCTGACTCCGAGGAAAGCAGCTGTTGCTTGGAAACTGTGCCAGCAGCTTTTAACGCGTTCTCTTCCTCCTGTACCAGCACTGCTGCTGCTTCCAGCTCCTCCAGTTCCAACCCCATGTGGGACTTGGTGAGCGTGGTTTTCTGCAAGGACTCAGAGAGTGCAGCCAACTTTTTTGACCTTTAACAAAAGAACAAGATGTATTACTGAACTTTACAAACAGAACTTTCCCGTTCGGTAACGAGAACACAAACCTTAAAACGTTTCTACTATTTGCTTGCTGTGCAGAACAGCTTCTTCAGTCCTGATTGTAAAAGCAGATGCTACAGGAGGGGAAAATAATATAAAGTACTCATAATTACGATTATTTGGGGTAATTTTGCCCACAAGGTTAGACAATATCCCACGGAAAGTCTTTGTGATACTTTTAGAAAATGATATGGCTGCTTTGGTGCTGCAGCAGTGCACAGTGAGGGAGAAGGCAGTTCACAACAAACCTTTCCAGGATTGCTGTCTTTGGCAGCACATGTGGCTGGCTGCATTAAGTTTACATGCAGCAAAATCATTTTGGTTTACTACCCTTGTAGATGTGTCTGTTAAATGTGTATGAACCAGCAGGACTCGCTGATCAGGGCCACCTCAGTGATCCATTCTCCTCTCCCAGCCAGCCTGGTGCACCCATTATCACAGGAAATGCTCAGCACTCTGAAGATGTGCTTTACCTTTCACTTGGAATTCAGCTGAAATATAATTCAACAGGAATAACAGGAGCATTTAGGTCAACGCCTCTAATAAAGCAGACACACCCCATCAGCTTCCAACCCTGGGTGCAGCCCCATCCATTCCCTGGAGTGTTTGGAAGTCAGCAACGTGCTTTCCCAGAAAAGGGCATCGGGGATTTATAAACAGAGGCCAAAAAGCAAGAGAGTGCCTTGAAATGGAGGGTGGTGAGGGCAGAGGGGAAAATGGGTATAAAATAACAAACATACATCCTGTTTCTTGTTGTAGAGTTTTGCCTCAGACTATCAATCAGCTTTTCACCACTTCCTGCAGCAGCAGGTCTGCAATAAATCCTGCAGTAACTGACTGGGTTTCATTTCCTCTGCCAAAGCTGCAAACCTGCAAGGCACGACACACTGACACTGGAGCAAGGAGCTGGGGATGTAATACATGACTCCTGCGAGGCAAAAGTTAAAGTGCTTGTTCTCTCAGTTGAATGATTTTAAAGATCTTTATATTCTATTTCCCAGGGGGCATAATTACTCAGTAGAAGATTCCATTTTTTTTTTTCTCCTAAAGGAATTGTATTTATAAGGGGGGGAAGGGAAATTCAGTGCAGCTTCTTACACACTTCACAGACAGTGCAACATTTAAAAGCTGATTCTGGAGCAGAACATAATAAACTTCCTTAGTTCAACCCACAGACTAAAAAAACTAAGAAATAAGTTTCCCAGAAGTGAAGCAACAGAAAACAATTTATATTTCTATGATTTTTAAATGTAAAGCTAAGAATTAAATATAACATCATCCTAGCAGTCTCTACTATAATATCAGGTACCAAATTTTAAAAATCTGCATACTTAACATTATTCCAATGTTTTCTTTTTGGCAATTTACATCCATTTTATTTTTGCCAAGATCTTGATTTTTTTTCTTGAAAAGTTATGGAGGATTTGAGAAATTGCCAACCTAATTGGGAACAAAGAAAGCATTCTCCCTGCTCCATCATTAAAAAAAAAGGAAAAGAAGCCAAGTGATACATTGAGGGGTTCATGGAGCCTTGCAGGTAGGTGGGAGCACAACAACTGGCTTCCAGGGAAATCTGCTTCCTGAGCACATTGGTGAGAAGCTGATTTATACCCCGAGTCACCAGAGTTTATATCCCTTTCAGAAAGCATTTGGCTTTGCTTTTGAAACAGTCTCCTTCCTCCCCTCCAGCTCTATGTTGGTGTCCCCTTCCCCTGTGAGAGCTGTCAGTAACATGAAGGTACAGCCCCTTTTCCTGTGCTGTTCCCTGACTGTCCACAGCAATAGGAGCTCCCAAAGCTGGATGTGCCCTGGGACAGAGAACACTGTTTTGTCCCAGTTTTAAATGTGGCTCCCTTTAATTTCATTGACAGCCACAAACAACTAACTCACAACACACCCTCTGGCACAACTTCCTCTGGTGACACACCTACAGCTCCCACTGCCTCAGTCTCACCCACCTGTTCCACTGCTGCCATTACAGAGTGAAAATCAATTTTCAAAGTCCTGTTTCTCCTCACATTTCTATCATATCTGTCAATTTTTTTCCCAATTCTGTATGTATTATTTGGCTTTTTCCTATTTCTGCTGTTCTGATTTTCCATGCATGTTTTCCCTGCTTGATATTCTCAGTCCTCAAAATCCTCTCCTCCTCTTTCACTATTCTCTTATAATGCAGTTTATAGATATAGAAACATATCCCATAACTGCATCAAGTATTAAGGAGGTGTATGACATCATGTGCTTTTTTGGCATTAATAAATACTGGGCTCCAGATTACTTAATGCCAAATGTCAGGGAAAAAACCCCACAGTGATATATTCCTTTGGCTCAACACACATGATGTTACTAAATTCAATGTGGTCCTACTGACAGATAAAAGAATGGTCTCTCTTAAGCAATAAGCTGGTTTTTTTAGCTCTTAGACACATCAGGTATCTGTCCCTGCTCATTGCAGGGGGGTCAGACTGGATAGCCTTTATAGGTCCCTTCCAACCCAAAATATTCTGTGATTCTATGAAAAAGTCTCTTTTCAGTTCCTCAGATTTCTTAGTAGGCCAAATGTTTCTTCCCAACTTTCACTCTGGTTCTTGAGGTCTCTATCAGAAAAAAAAATGGACAATCTGCAGAGCTCGACTTTTCAATATGAGAGACAAAGTCAAACTGTCACCTATTGACAAATTTATACATAAAAGCAGAAAATTCCACTCTCCAACTTCCCAATCTTCTATTAAATGGAAAAAAAAAAAAAAGAGCACTTAAAGCACAGGTTGAGGGGTTTTTTCCTCCCCCTGTGCAAAGGACTAAGAGAGTTACAATTAGCTATCAGTTCATCTACTTTAAGGCAATTATCTAATTTGAAGGAGAACTGAGTTTCAGGAGTGCATTTCACATCAGCCTTAAGAAAAGGTGGGAGCATTCCCTGGACAAAAAACAGGGCAAACAGCCTAAAAATCAGAGCATGGAAATGCTTTCAATGGGAGACTGGGGGTCCCTGAGCTAATGATTTCCCAAGCTGAAAGATAAGCAAAAATGAGATCTCATGTATTAGAGACTTGCAGTAAACAGGTCCTGCTGTTTCCAAAATCTTTCGAGTAGTGTTTGAGAGATTAGACAGCAAATACTTTAATTTTTCAAGTATGATTAATGGAATCCATGATTACTTTAAGACATGCTCATTCAGTATGCACATTTGTGGTAATGATATCTTATTATTATGGTAATAGTGTTCTTACATAAACATGCATAATAGGTTTTAAAGGTGCTACACATGATAATTATTAGTTATCACGATGTCAGTTGCTTAAGGAAAATGTTTAATTGCAGGTTAAACTGATCAGATGCATGTTTTGTTTAATGTATAGCTTTGAGGAACAGATAACAGAGGCATCTCGGGGCTTGTCCGTGTAGTCTGGAATTAAAATTCCAAGACAGAACTACAGTAATCCTTGCCTAAGCACAAGAGAGTTTCTTCAGGTGCTAGAAGAAGAAAAAAAAAAACTTGTTCTACAGATCTTAGATTATAAAAGAGTGAAACTGGGCTGAAAAGAACAAAGAATGAAAGGAGATTTAGCAAATAAAGGGAGATGGAGAAAACAAGGAGGGGAAAAAAGGAGGATTATGGCATCAGGAAAGGGAAATCATTACAGGTTTCCAGCAAAGGCCTCCTGTGGCAGCATGAGGAGAGGTGATGATGATGGGACTGACTGCAGGGCTGAGGGGTGGGAGGAGAGCAGGACACGTCTCCAGGTGAAGATGAACACTCCTGTGAGCTCCAGGTCTGCCTTCTGCTCCAAGGAGTACAGAAGGCAGTGGGATCTGAAGAATCAAGATAGCTGTTATCTCCAGAACATAGAGCTATGAGAAACAGGTCTCACAGAAGACATACATTAGGGATTTGATTGTTTCCAAGGAAGATTTAACATAAGATGGAAGGAAAAACAAAAGTCAGCCTAGTCACTCAGAGTAAAAATAAATGCAGGATTTGGGTAGGGGGATACATCCAGCCACAAAATCCTCTAATTTTTCCCAAATGCTAAAAATAATAAGTAATTATGCTTCTGTATCTTATGTCCATCAGTCAGAAACCACAGTATGAAAGGAGAAGTTTTAAAGAAAGTGTTAATGGGTCAGACCTTTCCATCTGCCTGGTACTTGCCTTACATCCAATTCTCTTCCTTTAGTAGTTAAAAAAACCCCCAAACAACTCAAAGAGAACTTGAATAAATGAAAACCAGCATTCTGTTCCTGATTCTGTATGATGATGGCACTGCACACCACCATGGCAAGGGAATTACACATCTAAAAATCTGTACTGAGCGTTTGCAAACATGAGAGCAAATGTTGTTGCCCAGAGAGGTTGTGGACTCCTCATCCCTGGAAATGTTCAGGTCCAGGCTGGATGGGGCTCTGAGCAACCTGGTCTAGTGGAGGTGTCCCTATCCATGGCAGGGGGGTGGAACAAGATATCTTTAAGGTCTTTTCTAATCCAAACCATTCTGTGAGTTTATGAAATAGTCACACTGGCAGCACAGCCTCCCAAAGCCGGAATCAGTCACATTTTGCTGTGGAATGAGAAGTGACTTTCCTTGCACAGGCACAAGCTGCAGCTTGCTTTTGTTTTTGTAAACAATAGAGGGATTATTTCTACTGCCTCATCAATTTGGCTTTGCATCTCACAGATGTATACAAACAACCACTGTGCCGAGTACACAGTGTAAACAAGGTGTAAGACACAGCAAAATGCAACAGAATTTCTTTGTTATCTGCCCTGGCTCAGTCACAGCCAAGTGACAGCACAAGGAGCTGCCACAGCAGATGAAGCTGTTCCTGCCTGAGCAGAGCAGGAGAGGAACAAAGCATGGGAACCTGAGTACCACAAGCACTGACAGCAGCTTTGCTTACCAGCCTGGTGTCTGAATGTGACCTAACTG